AGTTGGGTGTCTTCTGAATCTTTCGTTCTCTTCGAAAATACTTTGTTGAAAACATTTTCTGGTACTGATAGTAGTGTGATGCCTCTGTAGTTAGTTGTTGCACTTGCTGATCTATATTTTCTTTGGTGTTTTGATGAGATATCCTCCTTTACAATTTGTCGGTATTTGTTCTTTCCAAATCTTCCTAAATAGAACGTGGAGCATGTTTGCAGTTACTTCTATGTCTGACTTCATTGCCTCGGCTAGTATATTGTCAGGTCCTGATGCTTTCCCACTCTTGATTTGTCTGACGACCGGCCATCCTGATTTCTTCGGTCGTTGATGGAGTAACAGCTATGGGAAGATCTGGGTCTTCTGCTACGATATCCGATGGATTCAGTGGAGATAATCTATTCAAGAGTTTCTCGAAGTGCTCCATCAGTCTATCCCTCTGTTCTTGAAACTCAGTGATTGGCTTGCATTCTTTGACCTCGACTGGTCTCTTAAGTTTACTATATTTCCCTGACAGTTTTGTGGTCATGTCATATGGTTGTTTCATCTTTCCTTCCCTCACATCTTTTTCCGCTGCCATTGCTAGCTCTTCCACATACTTCTGGTTGTCGGCTCTAGTGCTCTTGTACGATTTCTTGTTTGCTTCAGTGTATTCTACTTGCGCCTCGAATTCGGCTGCTCTTGTCCGGCTGTTGTTAATTGCTGTCTTCTTGTTTATTTTTACTTCAATCCTGATCACAGTTTCGATTGGGATCCGTTCTTCTGATGATGGTTGCTGCGACCCAGAACCTTCTGACACGTCGAAGTTAGGGCTTCTTTGATCCCTTTCCAGTTATCCTCAATGGTAGTATCTTCTCTCAGTAGATCCTGTGACCTGTTGTTGTGAGCTATCTTGAATCCGTTGAGTTTGACAGTTTCTCGAAGGAAGGCTGTACTGAATCTACGTAATGTTGTTTGTCCAGTTGTCTAGTGCTTCTACAGCTTTAGTTCCATCTTGGCAATCACCAGATACTGATCCGAAGCTATGTCAGCTCCTCTCTTGATTCTCACGTCTTCCATAGTCCTTGTGAATTTTTACTGATGCAAATATGATAAGTCTGGTTCTCTGTAGTGTGGTTCGATGAGACCCCTGTAGCTTTGTGTATTCGTTTGTGTCGGAATATTGTCACCTACAACCACGTTGTTGAATGCACATTAATTTGTAGACTCGTCAACATTCTCGTCCCTTTCTCGCAGCCAGTCCACGACGTCCCATGATATCTTCATATCCGGTGTTGTCCATTGCGACTTTAGCGTTTAGATCTCCCGTTAGGATTGTCAGATCCTTTCCTGGGCACTTCGCTATGATCGATTGAAGCCTCTCGTGGAACTGATCCCTGTCGTCTTCATTGATGTCATTGGTGAGTGCATAACACTGGATAACATTCATTGTAATTCCCTCTTTTATTTTGAAGGATGCTTTGATGATCCTGAGTTCATGAGATTCCAATCTTGTAAGTGCATTTTGCGTATCTTTGTACAACATTGGAGAAACTCCCTGACTGCGAAGAGCATTTTCCTCTTCGTGACAGCAGCATCTCTTCCGAATCTATCCTTTTCTGTTCAGACTGGTTTCAATGGGTTTCGCTGATTCTGAGAACTGCCAAGTTGTATACCTTGTTTTCGTTGCTATTTGACTGGTCTTCCCGGTCTCTCACATTGTCCGGACGTTCCATATACTTATATTAATGGTTGCTCTGGTTGTTAGTAGGGACATCGGTCTCGTGACATCCGAAGGATCTCGGCTTTCATCATGAGACGTCAGAATTCTCCCTTCAACTCGGAGGGAAGAGTTTAAATGTTTTAAATTGTTTGTTATTGATAGCGCTTTTTTAGCAAAGTTGTTTTCTACGGAGTGGGGTTGCTGACCCCATAACCAACCCTCCTCCTTTACCCGGGCTTGGGACCGGCAGTAGCCCTAGAAGAGCTACAGGCGGAGTTACTTGAGAAAACAGTTAATATAAAATTATGAAATAGAATTTAAAAGATGTAATATAATCAAATAAAGTATATAAACGAAAATCGATCGGTACAGATCAACAAAGTGAATTTTTCAGATCAACTCCGTCTTCTCATTGTTCTATCGAAATTTGTAAAAGGGACTAATTGCTTTAAAGTTAATGACCAAGATGGAACAAGACTTCGGAGAAACAATTGTTACACAAAGGCTATTATTCTTAAGATTCATGGTAAAATCATCAACAAATCATTAGTAACGAAAATGTATTGCATTCGACAAATTTCTTTTAACTTATGAATAGCTTTGAATTATAAATATTTTGTAGTAGACTGACCAGTATGGATAGTGTTTTGCAATACAATTCTATTTCTTTACCCCTACAATGAATGGTTTATCCAAATCTCATTTGAATAGAATGCACATCGAATGGCTAATTAGTTTCGGTTTATAGGAATACGTGAACTGGTACATACGTAGTAGTCAGTGGTTTAATCCGACTGCTTACATGATTTTCACTCCCCGAGTTGTTTTTAGTTTCTTCTTAATAGAATTACTAAACAGAAGATATCATAGAGCTGCAAAATATTTAGTCGTTAGAATAAAATAGATGTGAGCAAATTATAATTCTTAAAAAGAAAGTTGGTGCAATAAACATGTACACGTTTCGGATATTCATTACGAATCCAGTTATTTAAGTTTACAATTAGCGGTAGTTTCTAAAGATAAGTATGTAGTGTCTACGTTATAACTTGTGGCCTTGTGTCCAATTAATATATAATGTTATGATACTGCCAATTAGAGAACAATTATTTATCGACTGGACCAATGACGCGTAAACTCGTACGAGCACTTTGGTTACTTCCATGTCTAACATCAGCACTCAATAGGCACAAGCTATGTTTTGCCTAAAAGTCACAATTTTAGGCTTTTTGAACTAACCAAATAATACACACATCCTAATATATTAACTAGTTCAAGCAATTCACCAACAAACACAAAAATTGTAATCGGCCTTAATTAGTTCTGGCTACTCGTAACGTTAGTGTCATACCCATGCTGTCTAAAATTATTATCAGCTAAATACGTATTGACGTTGTTAAATGTTTTCAAAATAGTGATTCAACCTGATTTGACTGATTAAATCGATTTGAATTTTCAGATGTTGATTGAATGAGACAAATCAGTTTTTAATACGATCAACGTGGACCAGTTGAAATAACTAAACAAAGTTTCGTAATTATGTTACTTACTTACTCCTGTTACTCCTCGTGAAGGAGCATAGGCCGCTCACCAGCATTCCCCATCCAACCCTTTCCTTGGCAATCATTTTCATATCTGCTTCTATTTCCCGACGTAATGTGTTATTTGGCCTTCCTCTTTTCCGCTTCCCTTCAGGATTCCAAGTTAGCGCTTGTCTCGTAAAGCAGTTTGATGATTTCCTCAATGTCCTATCCGTTTCCATCGTCTTTTCCTAATTTCCTCTTCAGCTGGAAGCTGGTTGGTTCTCTCCCACAAAAGGCTGTTGCTGATGGTATCCGGCCAATGGATGTTGAGTATCTTGCGTAGACAGCTATTGATAAATACTTGTACCTTCTTGATGATGGTTGTTGTAGTTCTCCAAGTTTCAGCTCCGTACAGTAGAACTGCCTTGACGTTGGTATTGAAGATTCTGACTTTGATGTTGGTTGAAAGTTGTTTTGAGTTACATATGTTCTTCAATTGAAGGAATGCGACCCTTGCTTTGCCAATCCTAGTCTTTACGTCTGCATCTGAACTTCCTTGTTTATCGACGATGCTTCCCAGGTATGTGAAGGATTCCACGTCTTCCAGAGTTTCGCCATCAAGAGTGATTGGACTGCTGTTCTCCGTGTTATGTTTGAGGACCTTGGTTTTCCCTTTGTGTATGTTGAGGCCTACTGATGCAGAGACTGCTGCTATGCTGGCTGTCTTTATCTGCATTTGTTTGTGTGTATGCGATAGGAGGGCTAGGTCATTTGCGAAGTCTAAATCGTCTAATTGGTTCTGAGCTGTCCATTGTATGCCGTGTTTTCCCTCAGATGTCGAGGTCTTCATAATCCAGTCGACCACCAGAAGAAAGAGGAAGGGAGAGAGTAGACAACCTTGTCTTACTCCAGTCCTAACATGGAATGCATCTGTCAGCTGTCCTCCATACACTACTTTGCACTGTAGTCCGTCGTATGAGTTCCGGATAATGTTGAAAATCTTCTCAGGATCTCCGTAGTGTCGAAGAAGTTTCCATAACGTCCTCCTATCTACACTGTCAAATGTCTTCATAATCAATGAATTTGATGTACAGTGACGAGTTCCACTCAACTGATTGTTCGACGATGATCCGTAGTGTCGCAATCTGGTCTGTGCACGACCGGTCCTTACGGAATACAGCTTGTTGATCTCGAAGTTGAGCATCTATTGCGTCTTTCGTTCGGTTCAGCAACACTCTGTTAAAGACTTTTCCTGGTACTGATAGTAGTGTAATGCCTCTGTAGTTTTCACACTTGCTCAGGTCTCCTTTCTTTGGAATCTTGATGAGGAGTCCTTCCTGCCAGTCCATCGGCACTTGTTCCTCCTCCCAAATCTTCTTGAATAGAAGATGAAGCATGTTTGTCGTTACTTCGATGTCTGACTTCAGTGCTTCAGCTGGTATATTATCGGGTCCTGCTGCTTTCCCGCTCTTGATTTGTCTGACGGCTATTCTGACTTCTTCGGTCGTTGGTGGATTGACATCTATAGGGAGATCTGTGTGCGCTGCTTCGATGTCCGGTGGATTCATTGGTGCCGGCCTATTCAGGAGTTCCTCGAAGTTCTCTGCCCACCTGTTCCGCTGTTGTTGAATTTCATTGATTGGCCTGCCTTCTTTGTCTCTGACCGGTCTCTCTGGTTTACTGTATCTCCCTGCTAGTTTCTTCGTTGTATCGTAAAGCTGTTACATATTTCCTTCTATTGCGGCTTTCTTTGCCGTCGTTGCTAGTTCTTCCACGTATTTCTGCTAGTCGGCTCTAATGCTCTTCTTCACTTGCTTGTTTGCTTCTATGTACTCAGCTTGTGCTTGAACTTTCTGTGCTCGTGTTCGACTATTGTTAGTTGCTGTCTTCTTGTTCTTTCTTTCTTTGATCCGGTCCAGTGTTTCTATAGAAATTCATTCCTTGTGATGATGCTTCTTGGGGCCCAGAACCTCTTGACACGTTGAAGTTAATGCTTCTTTGATACCTTTCCAGTTATCCTCCATAGTAGTATCTTCTTCCTTCAGTAGATCCTGTAGGGCTTGGAACCTGTTGTTGAGAGCTATCTTGAATTCATTGAGTTTGTCAGTATCTCGAAGGAAGGCTGTATTGAATCTTTGCAGAGCTGTTTGTCCAGTTCTTCTTTAGCTTCAGTTTTAAATTGGCCACAACCAAGTGATGATCTGAAGCTGTGTCCGCTCCTCTCCTGGTTCTCACATCTTCCATTGTCCTTCGTAACTTTTTATTGATGCAAATGTGATCTATCTGGTTCTCTGTGGAGTGGTCCGGTGAGATCCATGTAGCTTTGTGTATACGTTTGTGTGGAAATATTGTGCCGCCTATGACCAATTTGTTGAATGCACACAGATTTACAAATCTTTCCCCGTTTTCATTCCTCTCTCCCAGTCCATGCAGTCCCATGATATCTTCATATCCGGTGTTGTCTATTCCGACTTTGGCGTTTAGATCTCCCATCAGAATGGTGAGGTCCTTTCTCGGGCACTTCTCTATGATTGATTGCAGCCTCTCATAGAATTTATCTTTAACTTCGTCGTTGCTATCATTGGTGTGTGCATTACACTGGATAATGCTCATTGTGATCCCCTCCTTCTTTGTTTTGAATGACGCTTTGATGATTCTGGATCCGTGAGATTCCCATCCTACAAGTGCATTTTGTGCTACTTTGGACAGCATTAGAGCAACTCCCTGAGTGTGTGGAGCATTTTCCTCTTCGTGACCGGAGTATAGCAGCATCTCTCCCGTATTTAGCCTTTTGTTGTCCAGCTTGGGTCCAATGGGTTTCGCTGATTCTCAGTGCTGCCAAGTTGTATCTCCTCATTTCCGTTGCTATTTGATTGGTCTTTCTGGTCTCCCACATTTTCCGGACGTTCCATGTACCTATAAAAATTGTTGCTCTGGTTGTTAGAAGGGGCATCGGCCTCATGACTTTCACCCTGAGGCGTCATATTTCTTCTAAATTAAGACCTTCTAACTCCCAGGGCAGAGTTTAAATGGTTTGAGTTAATTTTTCTGGCTAGCGTTTTTTTAGCGAGTTAGTTTTCTACGGGATGGGGACGCTAACCCCATGCCCAACCCTCCTCCTTTATCCGTGCTTGGGACCGGCAGTAACTCTAGAAGAGCTACAGGCGGAGTTTTCAACGTACGCACACTATGCCAAATCGGTCAGCAGGCTTCCTTGACTAAAACCCTAGAATCTCGTACCATTGATGTATGCTGTGTCTCCGAAACACGCATACAGGATCCTGGCGTGGTCATTCACTTGATCTCACCTCGACAAAACGGAGTGCCGGCGAGATACACCCTCCGTGTATCTGGCGACCCGATAGATAGTTCTCGTGGACTGGCAGGTGTAGGCATAGCACTAAGCATGAGGGCGGAACAAAAGCTATTAGAGTGGATCCCCGTTAATAGTCGTCTATGCGCTGTTCGGCTAAACGGCTCCGTAAGATCTCGGAAGGATAGGGACATACGTCGTTGCATTTTCGTCGTTTCTGCCTACGCTCCCACTGACTGCAGCTCGGATGAAGTGAAAGATGAATTTTACAGAAAAATCTCTGGACTTCTTCAGAAAGCTAAACGTTCAGACATAGTACTTGTAGCAGGTGACTTTAATGCCCAGGTAGATAGCTTAAACGAAACAGAAAGACATTTAGGTGGGAATTTTAGCATTCCTGCACAGAGAACAGATAATGGTGATCGTCTGCTGCAACTTTGCTCAGATAATCGATTATTTTTAGCAAATACGAATTTTAAGCATAAGGACAGACACCGTCTGACATGGCGACCCCTTGCATCAAATCAACGATGAACTCAAATAGACCATATTGCCATCAGTCATCGTTGGAGAGGGTCAATAGAAGATTGTCGCTCACGTGGTTGGAGTCACCAATACTTAGAGATCTTAGATGACATGGCTCAAAATCGTTTGCAATGGTGCATGTGGACTGGCTCTTTGTCTTCCAGGTTCTAAACTTTTTAGTTCCTTATAATGTTATTTTGCTAATTATATTTTTTTGAATTGTGTTATCGATGCATGGTCTTTTCTATTACCACTGATGCTGATATTACTCCCATTACTCGGAGATTTGTTCTAAGAATTTCATCTCTGTGCTAATGGTGTGCGGCATCTTAAAAAGATGTAGATACGTACTAGGTTCTACGTTGCAACTGACTGACAACAGTTCCGTCTTCCTCCTTTCAAATTTTCCCAGTCAATTTATGTGGCACTTAGACGCTCATATAAGATAGTCACGAATAAAATACCTCATTCGCTTCAATCTAAAATGTAAGTTGGTTGCTTTCAGGAGCAGGGCATCTGCATCATAATTAATGTTCAGGGTAGAGTCATAATTATCATGTCTTACAATACGGAAAGTAAGGAATTAAAACAATTTAGTCATCCTTTATCATGTACCAAATGCCTTTTGATAATGCTTACTATTAGTTACTAAACCGGTTGATTTCGTCTGTTATTTTCTGTTCGAAATAAACTGCGATGTACATTCATCATTTCTTAAACCACATTTTTAAAAAATTTTCAGTCATGAGGACTGGTCCACACGATGCGTAGTTTTTAGTTTTGATTAATCAATCCTTTTGGTTTGCTTTAAATTAATACAGGCTGGTGAGAATATTGCGCGACCGGACACTGATGCCATGACTCGTCTACACTTTCTTCGCCGATGGTTTAGAACACGCTCAGCTATTGTACTGCATTTAAGCAATGGAACGTTGCAAGTGAGTTTAAATATCACTAATATCAATAACATGAGACAAAGTTTTTATATTTGATAGAATGATCATCCTAATAATCTTACATAATTTATTAATATGTACAATGTTATTATATCAAAGTACCTGTTTCGAGTTAGGGATTGTAGAAAGTTATACATAAATATTTTTGAACCTGATGGAAAATTAGTTAACTAGTCGGTCATTCGTCGTCGACATACACCCTGGAACAAATGTGTGCTACCAAAAGTTGCTGTACCCTACCAACACGACGTGATGAAGGGTGACAAAATAATGGTTCTTTGTGAGTTATTAAGTCTTGTGTTTTGTGGGAATCCTACTGGAATATTGTAAATAAAATGACTGGAGTCCTCTTAAGGATATAATCTATTGTCAGTCGAATTCTCTAACCAAATGGATCACTACTTTACTATATTCACAACAGCAGTTCAGTAGCAAGCCAATTAGATACAAGTATCATTAGAAGTTGAGACCATCTTTTCCTCTCTATATATTAGTGTGACCAGTTGAGAGTATCTGTCAGTAACAGCGTGGAACTTCGTACGTACGTACGTACATCAGTCCGAGTTGCCATACCACATTAGCACAGAGATTCAGTTATCGATTCAAATCCCGTAGTGGTAGAGGTAGCAAAAGTATAAGCAGTAATCGGAAAGACTACGGTTCGAAGATGTTACTCAAGGAGTATAATACAGTGAAATAAAGTTGGAAAGAGAAATAAGGGACATGAAAAATTCGGAAGATTATAATTTAAGAGAACACAAAGAGTGGATGCGCCTGTGTCATTGTAAACGATTTTGAGCCATGTCATTCAAAGCCTCTAACCATTGGTTGCTATCGTCTCACGGATCCCAACCCGGTAGTCTACACCTACCAACATAACTCAGTCCACTTGTCAGTGGCTGCATGGATTTGTGCCACGTTTTGGTCTGGCCGCCCCTATCTTTCTTTCAACCTACTCCTACACCATAAAACATCGCACGTCGGTATTTGGGTATACGTAACACATCTATAGCCATTTCAACTGATGAAGTTCCACTAATTCGTCAATTGATTTGCCATCCTTACCTGGTACCCGTTTCCTAACAACTGAGTTACTTACACGGTGGTCCAAGGATATACAAGCAATGTTTCGAAGACACCTATGGTCAAATACTAGTAACCTACGGATATCCTCTACTCTTACCGGACATGTTTCGCTGCCATAAAGTAGGACACAACGAACTGCTCCACAGTAAACTCGTCCTTTGTTTAGTAGACGGATATCTCGCCTAAGACATAAATTACGCAAGTTGACAAAAGCTAGTTGAGCCTTCTGTATCCGTGCTGAGATTTCGTCACACGCCAGACCACAAGGGCTGATGAGACTCCCAAGATGAGTGAAGTGATCGACACGCTCAACTACTTCACTCCCTATCATTAGCTCGGGTGTCGATGCCACCCAATCGTGAAGTAACATTTTGCATTTCGAGGGAGAGAATCGCATCCCGAACATGCTTACATTGTTGCTTACGATAGTCAGAAGACTGCATTTTGTTAGCGTTTTCACCAAATAGAACTATGTCATCGGCATATTCTAAGTCAACAAGTGAATCTCCCGGTAGAAGTTCAACTCCTGGAAATTTAGATGAGGAAAGTGTTATCTCTAAAAGCACGTCGACGACAAAGTTAAACAAGAATGGAGAGAGTGGACAGCCCTGACGAACACCACTTGAGGCAATCGATTCTCATGACAGTTCACCATAAGCTCTCACTCGGCCAGTTGTGTTCGTGTAGAGAGCCTGGAAATAACGTTCCGCGTACTCAAATCGTTTGCGCTAGCGGCACGAGGTGATAAAGGAACGTGTGAAGGGTTATTCGAGGAGATAAGAGAGTTGTTAGGTGTAGGAAGGATCTGATCGTGACCAACTTGATCTTGCGTGCTGTTACGGGTATGAGGGCTGATGTCACTTCCCGGCTGCCCACATCGTGGGAGGGTATTTCTCGAGGAACCCGAAAAGGAAGATGGATTAATGTGGGTCTTAACGACCTAGGAGTGTGAACGCAGACCCCAAGGGACAACTTCTTGAGGCCAGCCACACACGGCTTTTTTGTGGGAAGTTTTCAGCGTGTTAGCTCCGTTATTTAAACGGCCTTACCTTCCGCGACGAGAATCCGTAGGGTAAGGTGAGGCGTGACATTTTTAGGGTCGATCTATTTTAACCCCTTCCTTCCTTAGTGAGAAGGCAACATCGCTGCAGATGCTGGTTGTCAGAGGGAAACACCTTACTGCTGTCACACCCCTCTCCAGGCAGCAGTACGACTTCGCCCTCAGACCTTCAGTTGCTGATTTTAGTCTTACCGTTCTCCAATCGACCTGCCTGGCATGGTAGAACCTACAGGAACATATGTTCCAGCCATTACAGCTCGGTTTGGTCATCACGGTAGGCAAGCCCGACCACCACGTCAAGGTAGCACCTACGGTTAGCTGTGGTCTAGTGGTTAGGATATTGCGATTTGTGTGCATTGCTTAGCCTAAGCACCACATGCCTGTAGCTTATTATTTTCGGAATATAAATATTGAGTCACGCTTTATCAAGACGAGTCGGCTCCCTTGCCTCCACGTCACTTCGCTTTTCTGTTTTCCAACAACATTATCCGCTCTCTCGTCTTCGCTTCCCTGATTGCCTGTCCGGATCAGCAAGTGTACGAAATATACGTACTCAAGATCCATTCTTCGTTATTTTTTAACGTGAAGTTGATAATTATATACGATGGTAGCTAGGATGTGTATTTTAATAACAGCATCAGCTAAAACAAATATATATAGCCTAAGCTCATAGAGCCACCATCCTGAGCAACTATGCTAGCCAGCATAGATAGTAGACTAAAACAGGGCTTAAGATGGTCAGGTAACGGTGCGTCAGTCCAAGGGATTATCAATTATTTGTCAAGCCGTGTAGAGATATTTGGGATTACAGGGGTGCTTTCAAGATAAACATAGTTTACAATTATAGAGATCACATGACAGATCAAAATATGTTGTATTAGTGTAGATCTATTCATTCTGGCTTAATATTAACTTATGATTCAAGATTTCCGGTTTGGTTCTCTCCTTTCAAACGATATATTCAAGAACTAGCTAACAAATACAATGGCTACTATCATTTGCACTCATTTGGTTTTATTTTTTATTTCCTCTCTTGTTATGCTGATGCGAAGTGCATCAATTCGAATCAAAACACGTTTTCGTCAGACTTTACGCCGTCTGGGTTGGACGGTAACCACTAAAATACATAATATATCCTGGAGAAAAATTCAAATATTGTATAGACAAGAAATACTATATACATCATTTAACGACCAGAGTCT